CCCCGGAACCTCCATTTTTCCAACAAGCTTCAGCTCAAAGATCATCTTTGGCAGGAGCCATTTGCTGACGCCCCTTCCCCTCAGCTCTTCGTGCCTTTCCCTGTCTGGTTTCTTTAATGTGTCTCATACATGCTTACACGTGTGCATGTTGGTTCCCCTGTTAGAATGCAATCTCCATAAAGTGGAAAGGCTGTTTCATGCCTGTTGTTGCATCCCAAAGGACTAGCTCAGTACCTGATACACGCTGGCCAGTTAACCCTTCTTAGTTGATTGGAAGCAGTGCACTGCCATGGCAGCTGGAGAACCTGGGCTCAAACCCCACCTCTGATGCGTCCTAGCTGTGTTACTTTGGACAAGTCATTTAGTCTCCCTGCATGTCAGCTCCGTCATCTATAAAATGGGGGGGTGGGTGGGCTAAATGGTCCCTTTTAACTCTGGATTTATGATCCTATGAGCCCATAGTTGAACTGGGAAGGTAGTCTCTAGTACAGTGCCACAAGGTTCTGTTCTCAGCCCTGTTTTGTTCAAGCCTATTTAGCAATGATTCGGACAGAGATGGCATGCTTGGAAAATCTGTGGAGCCTGAGATGAACTGCCGCCATGTTGGATGAAGAACTACTAAGATCTAAAAAGATATGAATGGTCCAGAATTATGAACTCAATATAAGAAAATGAGACTCACTAGGGATAAGTATCAAGTACATTGAAAATATCAACTGTCTACCCAAGCTCTCCACTGAATAATGGTTGACAAAGAAGCTGAGCCTCTGAGTGTTCTGAAGGCTTGTGAAGCTAAGGCCATCTTGGCCTCTGTTCCCTGAAGCCTGCCTGGCATCTAGAACATGGCAGGTGGAAGCCATTGTGAGCTCTGCTCCGGGCCGACTTCATCAGGAATACTACAATCAGCTCTTGGGGCCATCTTTTGGGAAGGACTGTAACAAGCTCCAGTGAGTCTACAGGAAAACAAACAGAGCTGTGCTATAGAGGTCAGGCAAAGGCACAGCAGATGTTTATTCTGGACCAGAGAAGACTTTGGAAGAGCTTGAGAGGTGCCAGCAAGTACTTGGAAGCTGTCATGTGGAAGAGGGATTAGATTTCTTTGACTTGGCCCCATAAGTGAGGGCTGGTGCCAGGGGATCGAAGTACCATAGAGACAGATTTCAACTGGATACAAAGAAAAGCTTCTCAATACTTACACCTGTTGGACACTGCCTTGATATGTACTGAGTTCCTCATTACTGAAGGTGTTCAAAACATACACTGGATGACCATTTGTTGGGGGTGTTGCTGAAAGGATTCCCTCTCAGAAATATATTAAAAGCAGCGGCTTCTGAGGACCCACTTGTGGCCTTGAGATGCCAGTGTGGTTTTATAAGCTATGCTGGCCACATTTTAAACCTGCCTTGATTCCAAAGGCATTTAGGATGTCACAGAATGGACCATTATGAATGAACCTCAGTCATTGTTTTATCATAGAAACAGAAATGGTGGTTGGCAGAAACCTGCACACTGGAATGACCAGTAACAAAGAATGTTCCATCTATTGTGATCACTCTAGAGAGTATTTGTGAAATCAAGACCAAGGTTCAAACATGTCCAAGGTTTAACCATTTATTCTTTAAATTAAAACATTATTTCTCATAACATTAGAATCCATTACACACGGTGGTGGGGAACCAGCAGCCTCAAGGCCACATGTGGCCCTCTAAGTCCTCGGGGGCGGCCTTTTGACTGAGTCACAGTTCCACAGAACAAATCCTTTTATGAAGGGGATGTGTTCTGGGATGTTTGGATTCAGTCAAAGGGCTGCGCTTGAGGACTTAGCAGGCCACATGTGGCCTCGAGGCGGCAGGTTCCCCACCCCTGTGAGAACATGAGTTTCTTGAGCCCCAAGACCACCTTTTTGCCTTTCTTTTTATCCTCACAGTGCTTGGCAATAGTGAGCACTTAATCCAGACTTGTTGATCTACTGAATGACAGATCCCTCGAGCTAAAAATCTTTTCAACAAAATTTTTTCAAAGCATGTGTTTTACACAGTAGAAGTTACTTAGTATCTATATTTTCCAGCCTGTAAGCAATCAGTGTAATATGACACATAGAAAACTGGCCTAAAGTCCAGAAAGACCTGAGTTCGAGTCCTGACTGACACATCCTGGCTATGTCACCCTGGGCCAGTAACCTAACCTCTCAGTGCCCTAGGCAGCTCTCTAAGACTGAATTTCAGAACAATGGCAAGGTCTGCATTGGTAGAGGGAGTTTCCTTACTGGAAGGTCCCTATCCCAATGAAGTCATAAGTTTAGTCAAGGGGGGGAAAAGCAATCAGACTTAAAATTCCATCATCGGGTCCATCCGTCTGATTCTTCCATGTTAGCTATGGAGTATTCCTTTTGGAGTGAATGGTGTGCCAGGTAAGGAGGGCAATCACTTTTCCATCACTGCAACTTGATGTTCTTGGGGGGATTTGTGGGAAATTGCTGAGAGTACAAGTGGGACATGTACTGTATCTCAGGCATCACCATCCTGCGACACATGGCCATGGTCTCATTGTCTAAATGTTGTTTGAGATTGTAGCCCAGGATGCTGGCCTGCCCAGACTGGTAGGGCCTGAGCCTCGCGTCTTTGATTTGTGTCTTATTCTTTGGCTCCCCATCCTGGATGCATATGTCCATGAGCTCCCGCTGCCTTTCCCTCAAGAGAGCCACTTCCTTCAGCAGTTTCTTCAGCCCAATGACCTCCCTGATCTTCTGCCAGAAGGTCCTGTTGAAATGCTGGTAAAGCTCCCAGTCCAAAGCACACCACTCCTTCACTTTCTCCTGGCTCTCCCTGGTCAGGTTCTGGATCGTATTCTCACTCCGCGAGTTTAGCTTGAAGTAGACCACGTCATCCAGATCCCAGTGCAAGGTGTTTCTCAGGAGGACCATGGACTCATCAAAATACTCAGAAATCAGGATGAGCTGAAACTGCTGCTGGATCTCCGTGATCACCCCCCGCACGTAGTCTTTGCCACTTTTGTTGTTATCATAGCCAAAGTCAAACCACATGTTGTTCCTGGCATACGTGTTTCTTATAGATACGTTTTCATTGTAGTACCTCAGTGGAGATGCCAAAAACTCATTCAGGCTTTTCATCTTCTGAAAAGCAGGCACATATCCTTTGTAATACACAAAAGAGGACTCCAGCTGGAAAATTGGGTTCCTCAATATGGAAAAGTAGAAAGTGTTGTTTGGCATCACTTTCTGTACCTTTGGGGGAGGAAAAAAAAAAAAGAAAAGACCATGAGCAGGCTTGCTTGATCCCGAGAAGGGATGCTCAGAGCCCGAAAAAGACCCTGGGTCAGGCCTCCTGGCAGAGGACACCTAACCCAGGCTGAGAGACCTCGAGCAAAGGGTCAAGCACCCTCCTGGGGAAATCACTCTCTGAGGGCTGCAGCCACTATCCAGACGTCAACCCCCACCCCACCCCTGCGGCGGCCTGTGCAAGGACCTGAGGAGAAATGTGCTAGCTATCATCTACGTTATGATGGGAATGATGTGAACTAAGAGAATGAACCAAGAGGAGTGCACAGAACCCTGTCGTCCTCCCACGATCGCCAATCCCTGCACCCTTCAGTTCTCTCCCAGGCCAACACCCTCACACTTGCTCCCCCTCCACCAGTATGTTCCATCAGGTCCCAAAGCATTGGGTACAAATGATCCACAGGAGCTGATTCACTCTCCCATCTTGGCTCTTCCAAATCCTTCCATCCCTCCTCAAGTCTCGTCGGCTCCCATGGCACCTGTCCTCTCCACCCTCTCAGTGTCATCACTTGACCTCGGTTTGCCTCGGTTTCCTCAACTGTAAAAAGGGGATAATAGTAGCACCAACCTCACAGGATTTTTGTGAGGATCAAAGGAGATAATATTTGTAAAGTGCCTGGCCCGCAGTAGGCACCATGTAAATGCTTATTCCCTTTCCCTTTCCTCATCTCACATCTCTCAGATGCTTTCTGTCCATCCTCCATCATTCCTATCTTGCTTTACAAGGTGGCCCTTCTCCTTGCCAAGACTGACCCTTCTGTGTGCATTCTTCTTTCTCCAGCAGTTTGATCCTACCTATCACTCCTCCTCTCTGACTAATCTCCAATGCTCCTCTGCTACCTTGGCTGCATCTCCTGTCTTCCTGCCTTTGCATTGGCTGTCCCTGATGCCTGGAACGCTTTCCCTCTTGTCCCCGCTTCCTAGATTTCCTGACTTTCCTCAAGACTCAGGAGAAGGAGGCAGAGCCAAGAGGCAAAGTGACTTCTCCTCCTCAAAACTCTTCTAAACACATCTAAAAAATGCAACAGACCAAATCCTGATTGGGAAATCCAGAAGGAGTCAGAGCTGTCTGTCCAGCCCAGCTCGACATAAGGAGACTGAGAAGGACTGGGGACACTGGGGATGGAGTTGGGCCAGGAGCACACCACATGCTAGCTCTCTAACACCCAGGGAGAGTCTGAGTGCCAGGACAAGAGGAGGTCCCAGACTCGTATTAGGTCATGCCCATACTGGGACCCTGAAATGGGGAACAGGGGAGAACCAGAAACTTTGTCACCCACTCCTCAGATCCAAGTAACAGATTCAGAGAGAACTGAGAGGCAGACCTGCACACAGGGGTGATATGTCCAGGTAAGGAGGCCCTACCTGGGCAGTGGACCAAGAAAGGAGGGTGTTCAGAAGCCAGCAGCAGCATTACTGTGACTCAAACCCCAGGCCCAGAGCTGGATCTCATTCCCAGAATCTAGCCCAGCCTGCAGAGGAAACACCAGGGCAAAGGAAAGCCTACAGTTGGGCTGCTCTAAGCCAGCAGCAGCATCTTCTCATGTTCAGACCCAAACCCAGGTCAGGAACTCAGAGAGCTCAGATCTGGAGGCAGCAATCAGACTCTGCCCTGCATGGGAAACACCAGCCTGGCCCTGAGACCCCACAAAAGCAACACTCAATACACCAAGAAAGCAGCACCAGGAGGCAGCCCAGATGTTCCCTCCACAGGGGCTGCAGAGCAAAGCCCTGACATCAAGTCCAGAGTGAGGCAGAAGGCTAAAAGAACGGGCAAACAAAGCAGGAACCTCACCACAAGGAGCTCAGAGCTAACGTGGCAGGGACCCTCCAGACACAAACGGAGAAGAGGAGAATGACCCCAGAACACCTACGAGCAAAGCCTCAGACCAAAGCACAGCTCAGGCACAAATGCAGAGTATGTGGTAGGGATGAGGCAACAGTTTAAAAAAAGGAAAGTTTAAAAAGTTAATAAATGGAATGAGGATTGGAAAATAAATGAGAGCTATGGAAGAAAGAATTGGGAAAGGAGGTTAACAGCCTGGCACCAGAGTTACAAAACCCCAAGTAAAGTTCTTCCTGAAAATTCACATGGATCAAATAGAAGCCAGTGACTCCATGAGAAGTCAGAAGACTGAGAAATAGAAAGAACACAGGGTATGTCATCGCAAAAACAACTGACCCAGAAAACAGATTGAGGAGAAAAAAAAATAAGATTAATGAATTCTCTGGAGCCCATGAACAAAAAAAAAAAAAGCCTAAACATCGTGTTTCCAAAAATCTTCAAAGAAAACTACCTGAATTTCTCAGAGCCAGAGGGCAAAGTGGAAAGAGGAAGAAGCTGTGAGCTCCTGAAAGACACCACCGTATGAAAACTCGCAGGAATATCCTAGCGAAAATCCAGAGCTTCCGAGTCAAAGAAAAAATACTGCAAGCTTCCTGAAAGAAAGAATCCAAGTACTGACGAGCCACTATTTGGATCACACACGATTAGCAGCCACCACAATGAAGGAACTGAGAATTTGGAATATGATATTCCAGAAGACAAAAGATATAGGCTTACAACCAAGAATAACTTACCCAGCAAAACTGAGTGTAATGCTACAGAAGGAAAAAATGAACCTTTAACAAAATAAAGCATTTCCTAATGAAAGACCAGAGCCATGGAGAAACGTTGAAGGTCAAATACAAGAGTGAAGAGAAACATAAAAAAGTAAACGTGAATGAACAAGGATACAGGGCCAGAGGATAAACTACTTCCATTCAAATGGAAGGATATAATACACGTGACTCCCCACCCCATCCATATCGTCATCAGGGTTCATAGGGAGTGTCTAAATAGTCAAGACTTAGGAATGGCTCTGCTGTGTCCTGATGAGCTTAAAAAATGGATGGAAAGAGAGAGGAAGAGGAATACACTGGAGCCTGGGGAGGAGAAGGGAGAGAAAGGAAAGTTAGGGGAAATTATTTTGTGTGTCGAGAGTGCACAAGCGCACCTCCACAAACAAGAAGAAAAGAGGGGAGGGGAAAAGGACTAACCCTTGAACTTCACTCTCATGTGAATTGGTCAAAAGAAGGAATTACACACATACATACACACACACACACACACACAGCTGAATACAGAAATACATTTCATTCAACAGTGAAATATGAGGGAAAGGGGAGAAGGAAGTTGGGGGAATTGGGGGGAGAGTTTAAGGAAGGAATTAGTCCTAAGCAAACTCTAAGGATGTACATTTATGGTCCTTTTTGAGGTGGCAAAGAACGGGAATCTGATGGAGCGGCCCATAAACTGGAGAATGGCTGAACAAGTTATGGTATATAAATGAGATGAAATACTACTGTGCTTACAATGCTAAAGACCAACCAGGATTCCAAAGTTCCAGTGATGAAATATGCTATTCACGTCTTGAAAAAGGCGAGGGATTCAGAATGGAGAATGAGAAAAAGAGTTTTAGGACACAGCCCATGTGGAAATGTGTTTTGATTGACCGTGCATGTTCACAATGGGTTCTGTTTTTCTTGAGTTATTGGAGTGGGGGGGGGGGTGGCAGCTTGGGATGGGAGGATAAGAAGGCAGGGCTTGGTTGATTAAAACAAAATATTTTTTAGAAGGATAAATCAAATACAACTGCACACACGCACACACACACACACACACACACACACACACACACACACACACTCTTCTAGTACCAGCCCTCTCCAGTTACCTCTCATTTATTCTGTGTAACACTGTGTAGCAAACTGTTATTTGCATGCTTTTTCTCCCATTGGAATGTGAGCTCATGCATGGTCGAGACCTCGTTTTCATCTTTCTTTGCATTCTCAGTGCTTAGCACAGTGCCTGGCACATAATAGGTACTTTATAAATGCCTGGTCACAGACCAACACCAGTGACCAAGCTTGCCCACCAAAAGATAAGAAAATGCCCATTGCTCACTTTTGGCCAAGGTCAGGTGTGAGGGACTGTCTGATGTTGGCTACTGCCAAGTGACAGTTGTGGTGAACTGGGATGGGAACTGGATACGGAGAAGTAACCGGAGCTCACGCTCCCGAGGCAGTGGGCAGTGCTATGAAGCTGGGGAAGGAACAGAATTCAAGGAAGTAGCCAGAGCTTGTGCTCCTGAGGCAGGGGGCTGTGCCACGTGGGAGTGGGACGGCAGAGAAGGAGTTCCCTTTGCTTAGTCCCCTCCCTAAGTGCAACGTCAACCCCAGACGCCTCCTTCCTGTGTCCTTCCTGACTTCCTGGGTCACGTACCTTCCCTTTGTGTAGCACGGACCCCAGACGCCTCCTTCCTGACTTCCTAGGTCACGTACTCTGTCTATGCACTAATCCCAGACGCCTCCTTCCTGTATCCGGTCCTAGCCTCCTGCGTCACTTCCTCTCCCTTGGTGCGCTAAACTCAGACATCCCCTTCTGGTATCTGACCCTACAATCATTGACTAGTAGGCGGGCTGAGGAGGAGGGGCTAAGAGGTACTTAAGGAACGGTCGTGGTCGGAGCAAGCACTCTCTTTGCTCCTGCTCTCTTGCTATGGCCTTCCTGCTTGGCCTTGCTGTGATGGCCTCTGAATAAACCTCGGGTGTTGGCACCTCCTGGTAGGCTCGTCTCTGTGTTTATCCGGTTGGGGACCGAAGACTGGTAAGTATGACTCTGGCAGCCTGCTCCTTATAGGAGGAGAGTGCACGGCGCAGCCGGCGCAGTGGGGGTTCACAGGCAAAGACTCACAAACCATCACACTTGGTCAATAGTTTGGTTAGTTTTCCTGAACTGGGTGTTTGGGAGGTGGTCTTTCATTTTTATTCTTTATTACAAGGGATGGCTCTCTCAGAAGATGAAGATGAAATGAAGGTGATATAGAAACAAAAATAGCGGGGCAGCTAGGTGGTGCAGTGGCTAGAGCTCCAGCCTTGGAGTCAGGAGGACCTGAGTTCAAATCCAGCCTCAGACACTTCACATTTACTAGCTGTGTGACCCTGGGCAAGTCACTTAACCCCGACTGCCTCACCAAAAAGAAAAAAAGAAAAGAAACAAAAATACGAGGTTTTTTTTTTTAAATAAATGTTCTGTCTACTTTTCATGTGTACAAAATCTCCCCACTCCCCCACCCTTGGCTTTATCCTGTTTCTTTCCCTGGCCCCCAATCCCAAGGTTCACCTCATGCTCAAAAGACCCATTTCATTCCTGGCTTGTAACAACCACAATTATGGTAGGTCGATTGGGTTCCATCGTCATCATAGCAGCTGACTTGTGTATAGTCCTTCAGGTTTTTTTCACAAACTCGGGGTCACAGATCTAGAGTAGAAAGGGGGCACTAAGGAGAAGGAACCTGGGGGCCAGGGTAGTGACAGTGGAGAGAATCAAACATAGACTATAGCTAGTAAGTACCAAGCCCGAATTTGAACCCAGGGCCCGTAACTCCACAACTGGAGATCTTTCCATTGGACCATATTGCCTCTCTAACTTCACCTCAAAAAGCCTCAGTGTCCTTATCTTTAAAATGGCTCTTACCTCCCAGGGTTACTTTGAAGCTGAAAGGAAAAAAGGTAAATAAAAGGATCTGAAAACCTTTCAACGCTCCTTCCCTTCCCCCCCTTGCCCCTTCCTGGGGCAAAATGATTGTGCAGACATGTTGTATTTATTTATCGCAACACATGTTGTGTTCCCCCATTAGAATGGAAGCTCCTTAAGGGCAGAGATCGATTCAATTTGGTCTTTGTATCCCCAGCACCTAGGATGGTGCCTGGCACATAGTGGGCACTTAATAAATGTTTGTCAGATTAATAATAAAAACAATAATAGCGATCATACAGTACATTAGGTTTGCAAAACACTTTATAAACATTATTTCATTTGGTCCTCACAACACCCCTGGAAGATAAGGGCTATTATTATCACCATCTTACAGATGAGGAGACTGAGGCAGGCAGTGGGTAAGTGTCCAAGGACACACAGCTAGTACGTGTCTGAGGCTGGAATTGAACTGAGGTCTTTCTGACTCCAGGAACTAGGTTGGATTGAACTGTTGTCCAAAGCATTTCCTTAGACAGATTTACAGACAGCGCCTTTTTTGAAGTGCTAGCAATAGGAAAATAGAAAGATAAGTAAAGGATACTCACGGAATGGGAAGGGCCAATCAACAGTTTTCCTAAAAATCTGTGGGTTTTTTGCCCACAAAACAGTAATCTGTGTGCCTTGGGCTGCAGGGAAGCAGCTCCTTCTGCCAGGTAATTTCCATTTCACTGGGCAAAGGACAAAAAGGTTATCTTACAGGGAGTAGAAATTGGCATTCGTTGCTGTGTATTCAAGACATGACTGACCCTGTAAGATAGTGATGAAAGGAGGCTATGCAGCCTCTCCCTCAGAAGGATACCTGAATCATAAAAGAGCTGGAATGAGTTCAGAGGAAAGACGCCAAGATTCTACAGAAGCTCGAAACCAAGCCATACAAAGGTCAACAGCTGAAGGAAGCGGGGATGTTACCCAACAGATGGGAAGGTGGGAGGGGAAATCCAAACTGTCTTCAAATATTTGAAGACTTATCATATAGAAAAGGTAGACTTACCCCATGTAGATACAGAGGGTGGATCAAAGATCAGTAAACAGAAGCTACAGACAATTTAAGCTCAATAGAAGAAAAGAACAAGTGAGGGGCAGCCTCCAGCACAGAGCAGATGCATGATCCTCATTAAGGCGTGTAACTCCTCAATATCCATGCAATCTCTAAGTCTCGAAGAGTCCTCGAAGTTACCGGCCCCCTGAGCCAGGAGATCATTTACTGGGGGAAGGGTTCATCACTCATCTATATTCTCCAAATTAGCCCAGCCTCTCTCAGAATAGAAGCAGGAGTTTAGCAGAAAGTCCCACAGAAGCAGTGTGGTATAGCAGATAGAAAGCTGCCCTCACAGCCGAGAAGACCTGGGTTCAAGTATTGTCTCAGACTGGCTGTATGACCCTGGGCAAGTCACATCACTCCTCAGTGTGTTAAGAAACTCTCTGAGACTCTAAGTAACACAGAAGGTTACAGCCTGCCGCTAGTAGAGGGTTTTTCCTCACCTGGGAGTTCCTTATGCCAATGAAATCACGGGTCCAGCCCCTGTCCCTATCCCAATGGGGGTCAGAGCCTTCAAAATAGGAAGATAAGCCAGGCCAATGTCATCTGTGAGAAGGAACAGATAATGACAATAGCCTGCGTTTATAAAGCCACTTTAAGGTTCCAAAGCTCCCTCCTCCAGGAGGGACAAGGAGAGAGGTAAAGGATGGCTTAAAGCCCGAGGCAGGCAGCTTTAGGGACCAGGTTGATAATCAGTCAATCAACAAACATTTGTGTATGTTATCATAGCTCATCTTCGCCACAACCGTGTGAGATAGGTGCTATCATGGCCCCCATTTTACAGATGAGGAACCTGAGGCAGGCAGAGGTTAAAGTGACCAGGGTCACACAGGTAGTCAGCGTCTGTGGTAAGTTGTGATCTCAGGCCTTACTGTCTCCACACCACCTGACTTGGCCAAGTCCTGGTTAAGAGCTGGTAATTGCACATATTACGTGGTTACATGTAGTCTGGAACTCTAGGTTGATTGACTGGCACCTGAAGATAGGCTGACTAGAAAAGGGGCTTAGCCTGGCAGCCAGAAAGACTGCCAGGGCAGCAGCCGCACAAAAACCCAAGATGTAGAAGGAAAGGGATAAAGGGTCCAGGGAGGAAGTTGTGGAGGCCACATAGCAATCAATCGATCGACAAGCATTTATGAAACACCTGCTGTGTGTCAGGTACTATGCTAAGCTCTACAGACACAAAGAAAGGCAAAAACAGGGCCCTTGCCCTTAAGAAGCTCACAGCAAATGAGAAAGACAACATGGGCTCCTGCTAAAAGTTATCATGTTTCCCTAAGCCTTTTCTTCTGCAAGCTCTCAGTCAACCTAGCAACCAATCCCTAGTTTATTTATAAGCTCCTACTGTGTGTCAGGCACAGTGCTGGGCTCTAGAGATACAAGGACAAAAGTAAAATAGCCCCTGCCTGCAAGGAGCTTGTATTCTAACAGGGGGAGTGCTGTGACTATTAGGAATGATCTCAAGGCCCTTGATTTGAGGCAATGGATCAAGTACTGGACTTGAATTCGGGAAGGCCTGAGTTCAAATCCTGACTCAGACACTAGCTGTAAAAACCTGTCTCTAAGCCTCAGTTTCCTCATCTGTAAAATGAGAGGACTGCACTCAATACCCTTCATGGTCCCTTCCAGCTTTAATGCTATGATCCATGATCCTTTTCCTCTAAGGTCCCCTTCCACGCTAACTCGCTGACCCTCAAAATCGGATCCTTCCCCATTCACAGTCGCCTTCCCTGCGTAGTGATCCGGCATCACCCAAATCTATTCCTTCCCCCTCCTAAAATTCTGACCAAGAATGGGGCTCTCAGTAACAGGTCACCATTCCAGATCAACCCCAGAAGCATTCTCCCTCATTAACCTGCCTTATTCAGCTTCCTACTGTTAGTAGAATGACTACCTCCATGACTTCTCCACCCAGCTCCCCACTGATGCTCACTGGTACCCAGCTTGAGCCAAGCTCACGGGTGGGACCACATCTGCTGGGGTCGGGGGGAGGGCAGCATGGAGCATGGACCTCACCTCTGTGGGGTTAAACCTCAGGTGATTGCACATGACGTTGAAGGTCCCATTCAGGGATTTGAATCCCTCCACATACTTGGTCAGGAAGAGCCAGGGATAACCCAGATGGAAAAGCTGCCCTGCAGGCAGGGCCACCGTGAGATTCCACTTCTCTGTGAACCGGTACAGGATGTTTATAACGGTGCTGCTGGCGGTCTTGTGGGTCTTGAGGAACATGACATTGGTCACAGGGTGGAAGGACTCCTGGCCACTGAAGAGACTGGGGAGAGAAGAATGGAAGATAGCTTCTATCACTATCTAATGTTGTTATTGTTCACTATGGATGAAAGAAAACCTTGACTGAGAATTCTTCCAGCCCATCCCTGTCCAGAACTCCCACTGCTTGCTGGTCATCTCTGCCTGGAGGCAGCCCAGACTCAACACGTCCAAAACGGGACTCGTTACCCTCTGAACTTCCCTGTTTCTGCTGAGGGTCCCAACATCCTTCTAGTCTCTGGGTTTGCAACCTAGAATCATCTTAGATTCCCCATTCTTCCTCATCCCATATAGATGACCAGTTGCCAAGTCTTGTGGATTCTATCTCTACATCTCCTGAAATGCCTTTCTCTGTCCTTCCAACCTTCCCACTCCTTCACTCACATTAAACCCGGTCTTCACTCTTATTTTCTCCTCCACCCTCCTGTTCTCTCAGATCACCTTTTGTCAATCAGCCAACCAATAAGCATTTATTAAGCACTTAACCATGTGCTTGGCATTGTGCCAACCTCTGAGATACTCCTCCCTTTTATGGTCTGTCCATTTCGTGATACATTAGTTATCACCCTGGCCTCACCCTGTACCCCTAACTGAATCAGATCTCAATCTGCCCATCCTCAACCCCAGCTAGCCCACACTATCTGATCCCTCTGTTCCAATTCTTGTCCTGTCTCTAACTTGAAAGGCAAATTTTGAGGCTTTGTGCTTTTCAGAATGTTGTACGGGTGAGGTTTTAGGAATTTCATAAATTTGTAGGAGTCAAGCCCTCCAGTAAAATCTTCCACTGGCTCCTCATAGGAGCATGGAGGTGATTCTGGGTCTTTGAAGGCTGAGCCAAAGAAACCCAGGCTCTCCTAAGTCATACCAAGCTGGAAAGGCTTCTTGTTCCTCCAGCTAGAGCGAAAGCTTCTTGAGGGCAGGGGCTGGGTTTTCGTGGTTTGGTCTTTCTCTATATCCCCAGCACTGAGCATGATGCCTACCTAGCACATAGTAAGTGCTTGATAAATGCTTTTTTGGTTGATGAATTTTGTTGAAGAACCAGCTTGGCTAGTCAGGTTCCGAGACTCTCCTTAGCAAGAAGGGGCTAGGGTGAGCAACACTTCGGCCCCTGCTTGGTACGAGGCACAGGCAGAGATCACAGAGGCACTGAAGGACCCGAACTGAACTCAATGTTTAGACAGTTCTACAGTGGCTTCTTCACAGATAACCTGGGGCTATTTCAGAGCAAGGCAATGAGCGTGGGGTGAGAAGGGCTGGGACTTCAGAGGGAAAATGATTTGGGGAAGGGGCACTCAAACCTACACCATGGGTCTCAAGCAATCAATCAGGCATTTTCTCTTCCCTAAATCCAACACCACCTTGAAGTAAGCCTAACCCTGTGCCTCTGACTCACCATGAACCCACAGACTCTGAAGCATCCATCTTTCTGCTGACAAAGCTCGTGCCAGACTGGCAGTACCCCTGCTACCCCAAGCTGGCCCAACTGATTCAACAAAGCTACTTCTGCTCAAAGGGGTCTTTCAATTGAAGCCAGAAGGAAGTACATCTGGGGCAGTTAGGTGGTGTAGTGGACAGAGCATGGGGCCTGGAGTCAGGAAGACCTGAGTTCAAACCTGACCTCAGATACTTACTAACAGTATGATTCTGGGCAAGTCACTTTACCCTGTTTACCTCAGTTTCCTTATCTGTAATGAGCTGGAGGAGGAAATGGCAAACTACTCCAGTATCTTTGCCAAGAAAACCCCAAATGGGGTCACAGAGTCAGACACAACTGAAAAGACTGAACCAACCCCACTGTTTTACAAATGGAAAAACAGGACCAGAGAGGTGAAGGAGTCTGTCCAAGGTCACAAATAGTGGATAAGGAAGAGAGCTAGGTCCCACACTCAGATCCTCTAACTCTAAAAAGAAAGGCAAACTCTCTTCTCCCTACGCCACTGCCTCTTGTGCAAGCTAGGGGATTAATATCAGCTGACAATCCTGTGGGTCAAGCCCCCCAAGAGCACCTCTGTGTCAACGACCAACTTACGGGATCAGCAAGCTGACTTGTGTATTGAGGAAGCTTCCCAAGAGAAGACTCAAAAGCACCACCAGGATGACAATGACATGGAAGTACCTGAAATGACACCAGATGGGAAAAAGCACTCAGGCTCAGCAGGGCTGAGATGATGCCCTGGCAGCATTCAGGACTTGGGGCTCACTAGGCTCCCCTCCTCCTCTGCCTCTTGAAATCCCCGACCCCCTTCAAGGCCCAGGTCAGTCAGGACTGCCTCAAGAAAACCTTTCTTGATCATGTCCAAGGGTCACCTTCTGTATACTTTGTGTTGTGTATATAGCTGGGTAGCCCAGTGTTTCCTCCCCTCTGCTTCCTGTGTAGCTTCCCTGGCTGCCCTCGAGACTCAGCTCCTGGTGTAGGAGGCTTTTCCCAACCCATCCCCTCCCCACCCCCACCCCCAGCTGCTAATGCCTTCTTGGAGATTACCTCCCATTTCCAGGGTCTATATTTGCATGTACACAATTATCTGCATGGCTCCCCCATTAGAAGGTGAGCTTCTGGAGGGCAGGGGCCAAGGTTTCACCTTTCTTGGCATCCCCAACACCTAGTCCATAGTCCAAGAAGGTACTGCAGGCATCCAGAAAAAGCCATTCAAGTACCAAAGAACAAGAGCCAAGGTCACCCAAGGCCTGGTATCTTCAGGACCTTAGAACACTCTGGCTAAGAAACTCTCTCATCCTCCTCTCCTCATCCCTGGGATTCAAGATCACCTTGTGTTCATTTCACAGATAAGGAAAGTCAAGCCCAAAGAAGTGAAGCAATTTGCCCAAGGTCACCCAGCTAGTAAATTACAGAACTGGGATTCAAACCCAGGTCCTTTGACTCATAGGCTTTCTACTGCACTACCCTGACCCTCTCATTTGATAATGGATAGAAAGACATGCATCCGTGGCCTTCACCTGGGGCTCCTTGGTTCTCATTTCAACAATTGCAGTAGCCTAAAGTAAGATGGCGGCAATGTCTTTCCTTATCCATAAAATGGAATGGTTGAGAGAGAACTCTTATGTACACAAAAACCCAAGGTTAGAAGGGGCCCCTCAAGGTCTTCCAGCCCATCCCCCTGTGTGGGCAGAATACCTCCCATACATCCCAGAAGGAGCTGTCCAACCTGTTCTTGAAGCCCACCAGGAAGTTTTTACAACCTTTCTTTATGATGCCATCCAGATGAGGGTTGCATAATCCTTTCACCAGGAAATCCTGGTCCTGTAGCTATGGGGAGTTAGAGACTGGGCAAGTTAGTTCCAACCACTAGGCTATCTCCTTAGTGAAAGGTGCTGGGCAAACAGAAGATATGGTTACCATTTTCCTCCTTTTCATTAAACTAGAACAAGGAAATGTGGTGTTATGGAAGGCCAATGGACTTAGAGGCAGAAGATCTCAGGTAAAACCCCAGATCTGTGTTCAGCCAAGTTGTATTTCCTCTCAGAGCCTCAGTTTGACATCTTTTGTGATTCCCCAATCAATCCACCAACCCACCCACCTACCATGAATCTACCATGCTCCTTACCCTCATTAACCTCACAGTCCTATCAGGAGGGATGAGTCCCTGGAACCCAGAGAGAGAGAGAGAGACAGACAGACAGACAGACAGAAAGGAGAGACAGAGAGAGACAGAGAGGACTCTGGGAATCCAGCATCCTCTCAGCATAGGGTTGCATTATCTTACAAAGAGTCTCAAGTGATTTTGAAGACACTTCTTTGTAAAGAGGCCTTTTTGTTCTACAAAATCAGATGGGTTTTTTTTCTATAATCAACAAACAATAAGCATTGGGAGGAGGAGTCTTGATTTCTCTGCAACATTCAATCCACTGTGAAATGGTAAAGATGGAGTCTACTGCAGAAGGTCCCTGTAAAAAAATGTTCTCTACCGACATCTTCATCTGGAGGCAATTAAGTGACACATTGGACCTGATGTCATGGAGATCTGAGTTCAAATCCATAAAATCAGACACTTACGTGTGAGCCTAGGCAAGTCATTCAATCTGTTCGCCTCAGTTTCCTGAAATGTAAGATGGAGCTAATAATAGCACCTACCTTTCAAATGAGATGTTTGTAAAACACTTAGCAGAGTGCCTGGAACATTGTTGTCGTTCAGTTGTTTCAGCTATGTCCTACTCTTTGGGACCCTATTTGGGTCTTTCTTGGCAAAGATACTGAAGTGATTTGCCGTTTCCTTCTCCAGCTCATTTTATAGATGAGGAACTGAGGAAAACAGAGTTAAGTGACTTGCCCAGGGTCACACAGCGGTAAGTATCTGAGGCCAGATTTGAACTCATGAAGATGAATCTTCCTGACTCCAAGTTTGGTGCTCTATTCAAACATAGTAAGTATTTAATAAATGTTTGTTTCCTTCCTTCATCAAGGATGCCCTCAATTCACATGTGGATGATTCTCATGAATAATTTGCCTAAACGGGAAAGTAGGCATATAGGCTGGTAGTTATTGGGGTTCTTTCTGTCATCTTTTGAGGATATTAATAAGTCTAAGACTTTTTCTACGCCTCTGGCATCTTTCCCCTCCTTCGGGTACCTTGTGAATCAATCCCTCAATACCCTCACAATTACATCACCTCCAGCTTAGATTTTGTCTGTATGCTCTTAGCACAGTCAGGCTGATTTTCCTACTTTTGTTCTGGCAAACACTTGGCTCTACAGGGAGAGCCCTAGCTCAGCTCCAAAAGACTTGTACCTGGGGATGATGGAGGACATCCCAGGAATGTGTGGTGTAGGGTCCACAGTCTACCAGGGGTGGGGACCCTTGCTAAAGAACATGCAGAGTAGAGGCTCCTAGGAGATCTCTTTGTTAACCATCACCGGGAGCTACGTTGAAGAAGATTGACGATGGGGCCAAGAAGTTGCCTACTCAGTAGGTGAAAAAAGGAGAAATGATTTCCATTCTTCCTCTCTTTCAACAGGTGGTTTGGGGCTCTGACAGCTCTACCTTGGACTTCCAGAAAGGGGGAGGGAACAGGGATCCCCATGTCTTCCCCTCTTTCCCAGCACCATCCATGGTGACTGCATCAACATGGCAGTGAGAATACGTGCTGGCCTAGATCCAAGACTAGAGCTCAAGTTGCTGGCTACCTCTCCTGCTTTATGTTTCTCCTCCACAGTGTAGATGGTCCTTATCTTGATGGCAACCTTGTAAAGAGATCAGAAGAGCCTCCTTCCAGGTCCTGGCTGGCCAACAACAACTTCTCAGAAGAGATGGTCATCCCAAGAGGTTTAGTACAGATGTAATGGGTAAGAAAGCCCAAGCCAGGCTATGGATTGCCAGGAGATCCCAACTTGTGAGCTACCCAAAAAGCCTGAGTCATAGGTAAAAGGAAAGTACCTGTTTAGCAGCCCCAAAAATCCCCTAGGAGTCTTCACCCCCGGGAGAATATAAGAAAAGTAATGTGTTATGGTACCACGTTGACTTATTTGTCAACGTGCTTGAGCCTGGGGTGCATTAAGCATTTCCTTTGAGGTGGATATGAACAGGTCCAAGACTTGATATCTGCTACTTCACACACTGAGTAATTTTCAGGAAGGGACCTTGCCCATCCCTTTTGTGGAGATGCTACACATTAGACAAATCTTAGCTTTGTTTAAGGGGCAAAATGAGGCAGAGAATATGAGAAAAGAGTGATCTCCCTCTTTTAGAGGTCAGGCTCCCAAGTCTGCTAGAGCCAGGAGTCAGGGCCCCTATGGGTAGAGAGGGCCCCCTGGGCTGGAGGTAACATCTTGACCATGAACATGCCCCTAAGATTTTACTAATAGGGCAAGGAGAGCCCTTTCCCAGCAAGGCTCTGCTCTGGACTTACATAGGTCCCAAATTCATACCAAGAGCTGCCCGACCACAATAAAAAGCGATCAGGTCTATCTCTCTGATTTGTTATATTCCCACACAGAAATTAGAGGAAAATCCCTTAAACCGAAGGTTTAATTTTAGTTCATGTCCAGGATCTCCTCAAAAGGCATTAAGCAAGGTCCTTTTTCAGGAAAGATATTCAAGAGGAAAAATAAATATTAAGTATAGGGCAGCTATTTATTTCCTCCACCACAAAAGAAATGTTCAAGATACAAAAGCCTCATAAGCACACATTAACCAATACTTAAAACATAAAATAACCAATCATGCCCATTCTATGCCCCTGAGAGGGAAAGAAAACAGATAAGCCCAGACTTCCCATTCACCTGAGCTTCATACTTTCAGAGCAACAAGCAAGCCCAGCTCTCCTGGCCAGGCCCAGCTCTCTGGACCCTTCAGAAGCAAGATGTGCCTGTCTGGTGGTCATCTTCTCCTCCCAGAAGCCCGCCTCCTGCTGAGTAGCCAGAATCGACTCCAGAACTCCTCAGCTCTCAAGGTCATGAACAAAGCACCAACTCCAAAGAAACAGAGTCAAGACTTGCCATGATTCTCACAGCCTTCTGTGGGAAGGGGCAACGACCCCTGACTCAGCTGCTCCCACTCACCACAACCACCAGCAAGGAGTTGTTGCATCATGCCAATGGGCCTGTCCATGTAAAACACGTCTCCCAAAAGAGGGCTCAAGGGGGTGCTCTGAGCCAGTCCCACCACGCTTAGATTGTCCTTGTTA